GGAAACTGTTAGATGCACAGCTATCCGAGCACCACACCTCGCTCTCCGAGGCGCAATCCTCCGCCTATGCCTCCCCTCCTCCCCACCCGTGCTCACGCTGCAACGCTTGCTGTCAATGTATGTGCCGTAGGTCTAACTCTAACAGGCATTTCCCTCCCCCTCCCCCCCAGCTACTGTAAATTCATTTTTCATTGGCAAAATTTACTTAACTCTTTAAAACACCATAAGGTTACAGTCCAGGCCGCACTGTTGTGCTGCCCCGACATTCGACCTCAGCCTGGGCACACCAAGCCAAAGTCAAACCCATGAGAAATGCACAAAAAACCCCTGCTGTATCAAACTACATGCTCTTTAACAAATATCCCTTTTATTGTTGGCCTGTTACAGGAGCAAGCAAATAGTTTGTCTCAAAGTCTTTTCACAAACCAAGGAGTGTCAGAGTTGCATCCAAGAGGACACCAAGATACACCCCTGACCCTGCAACACAAAACAAAGAAGTGAAGGTTACGCCTACCGCATTATGCCCACCTGAACCCTCAAACAAGACCAGAATTTACTTGGTCAATGCTTGAAAAACAATTGGTCTCTGATAATCTCAGAGTTCAAGAAACCTTGCTTGAAAAGTCCTACTTATTTCTCCCTGAAGTTACTCCAGCCAATCCACAGGACCTCTATAACAGGCATGTAACAGTTTTCCCCACTTCACCGGGTAAGCAAGCAAAATCGTTTTGCACAAAACATGGAGATCCATGAAGTTGTTATCACCCCCGACAAAACAAATAACGAGCAGATGAACAGGCACACTAAACAAAACAGCTTAATAGTATTACAAATGTTCCTAACAAAATGGAAGTGGCATTAAGAACATTAAACTGAAAAGCAGTACACACCTTTAATGCAATTTTGACTCTTTTAATCTTTTTGACCTTTTCAACTGTCTTTGTGCCGAAAATGCAGAAAGCAGATTGAAAGAATGTTAGTACGACAGCTGACAAGATCACCAGCAGATGAATAACAATCAGAGTATTCACGTTGCAAGTAAAAGAATCAGACACAGAATTTTCCCTAGAACTTCCATGGAACAGCTAGGCTTTGTCCACCCAGAGCTAATTCTATTGCCTAGCTTGAGTATATCAAGGTAACATCAAACCCAATCACTTCACATATATTTATTTAAAAAAACCCAACCAAATGTTTAGCATGCAACTTACAGGATTGAGCGTATTGCATTGATCTATGGGATTCTTGTAGTCGGTCTTCAGTTCATCAAATGCTATAATCTAGAAAAAAAAATTGACACAGTTGGAATTCTTCAGCCCAGGAGCAACGATGACTTTTCTCCATGAAAAGTACCGTTTGGTACAGAGCCATAACTTTCAAGTGCCGCCACCATATTCAGAACCAGAATTTCTTCCAAGTACTTTTTAATATCATAAACCTCGGGGGTAAGACCCGTTTGAGGTAGGTGACACAGACAGGAGAGCAGAAGATACCTCAGGCATCCCCAGACCTCCTCTGCCCACACTCTGCCGCCCTACCTCCCCACCAGCAACGCGTTTCCAACGTCCCTTTCCGCAGTCTTTACCCCGCTCGCTGTGCCACCGACCCCCAACTTCACAAGTGACTCCCTTGGTTGCCCGACACGGGGTTTGTTAATCAACAAAAAGCAACAGCCATCTTGAAGGCAGCCAAAAGTTTTGTCCTGTTGTCAGAGTAAATGCTGAGCCCGCATAAGCTGACCATGAGCCAGCAATGTGCCCTTGTTGCCCAGAAGGCCAATGGTATCCTGGGGTGTATTAAGAGGAGCGTGGCCAGCAGGGCAAGGGAGGTTCTCCTCCCCCTCTACTCTGCCCTGGGGAGACCCCACCTGGAGTACTGTGTCCAGTTCTGGGCTCCCCAGTTCAAGAAAGACGAGGAACTCCTAGAAAGAGTCCAGAGGAGAGCTACTAGGATGATAAAGGGACTGGAGCACCTCCCCTACGAGGAAAGGCTGAGAGAGTTGGGCTTGTTCAGCCTGAAGAAGAGAAGACTGAGAGGGGATCTCATCAACGCATACAAATATCTTAAGGGCGGAAGTCAAGAGGACGGAAGCAGTCTGTTTGCAGTGGTGTCCAGCGACAGGACTAGGGGCAATGGATGCAAACTGAAACATAAGAGGTTTCAGTTGAATATGAGGAAGAACTTCTTCACTCTGAGGGTGGCAGAGCACTGGAACAGGCTGCCCAGGGAGGTTGTGGAGTCTCCTTCTCTGGAGATATTCAAAGCCCGCCTGGATGAAGTCCTGTGTAGCATGCTCTAGGTGAGCCTGCTTTAGCAGGGGGGTTGGACTAGATGATCTCCTGAGGTCCCTTCCAACCCTTACGATTCTGTGATTCTGTGATTCTGTGATTCTGT